TTCAGACACAAGACAAAAAAACTTTCGGAACACAAAACAAGGCCATATTTATTTGTCTTCGGACAGAGGACATGATCAGTTCATCACGTGCCTGAGCGGGTCTGGGACCCTAGTAGCAGAAGTGGTGCTGCTGTAATGCGCTGAGCCGCCCCTCGGGGGCTCGCGCGATGGTCAGGGGGATGTCGTCCGCGGGCGTGGTCGATGATTTTAGGCGCGCTCCGTGCTGCTGGCCTACCTCGTACTCTTCGCTCTCTCGCATGACTTTTATCTGACCCTCTCCTGCTTTCATGCTGACGTCCGGACTCCTGTTGACTTGTTCAGCTTCAACCCGCGCGCTCTTGTCGACANGCATGACTGTTATCTAACCCTCTCCTGCTTTCACCTCGCAGCTGACGTCCGGACTCCTGTTGACTTCTTCAGCTTCAAACCGCGCACTCTTGGCGACGCTGCGGGAGCTATCTTGTTCTTCGATCCTGGCGTCCTCCGCTGCTTGGCGGGCCTTCGCTGCTTAGCGGGCCTCCGCTGCTTGGCGGGCTTCATCTTCGCGCCTGGTAGCCATCTTTACCCTGCTCTCGATCGCCGCAAAGCGATACTCCTAAACCAAGCTCGACCGCGAATCTCGTAGACGACGTGTCATACGCTAGCGAGCACCATTATGTTCTTTGCAGTCAGCGCTTAGCGAGGGGTCCGTCCCCGGAGATCCAAGCCGTAAACCCCAAAAATGTGATCCAGCCGGGTGCTAACGAGCTGAGCGTATATCTTTCGATTGATCAAGGCTTACCCATTAGACTACTCAGTCAGCGCTGACTAGTCTAGACTAGTCTAATGGTGTAACTGTATCGAATAGATGCAGCATACCACGATATCCTGGCTTCGGCTGGGCTTGAATTTTCCCTTTTTGCTGTCCTCCACTCATTGCATCAGTGGCTTGCTGGGTTCGGGTNAAATGTGATCCAGCCGGGTGCTAACGAGCTGAGCGTATATCTTTCGATTGATCAAGGCTTACCCATTAGACTACTCAGTCAGCGCTGACTAGTCTAGACTAGTCTAATGGTGTAACTGTATCGAATAGATGCAGCATACCACGATATCCTGGCTTCGGCTGGGCTTGAAA